AAAAAAAAACAGAAACAACTGGAAAACGTTATAATCAATCCTTCCTTTCAAAGAAAAGTAAGTAAGCACCGGCTCGATCCACTTCCTCTTCAGCGACTTCCTAAAATATTAATATGGACTTATGAGGATAAGCTCAAAAAACCTAGATATATAAACTTACCCTAACAGAGCAATCGTTCAGAAGCAACCATTTCTCATCGACGCCACGAGCATACGCGACAAAATGTCCCGATGAGAGTTGCCCGTAATGATTCTGTAACATAATCGGAAAATTAATTTCCAAAAAATGAAGATAAAACTGAAAAAAGTCAAAAATATCGATATGAAAGTAGCTCATGAGTTGGAACAAAAAGGACTATGCCGCTTTGACCATGAATGGTTTCAGATTACAATTTAATGAAAAATCAGATCAAATAGATTCAGGCAGACCACTCACCGCAATTGCAATGCATTCATACTTGCATTTTCCATTATGTCCATCTACAAATGGTGTTGGATCAAATTGTTTCAGTGGGAATGTTATAACCCGCTTGCATTTTCCCATGCGACCTTCACCACGAAGAAATTCAAACCGCTTGAGGTGGATAATCTAGAGATTTTTTGAGAATAAGATAAACCATACTTCAATTAGAAAAATCTGCGATCCGTGGCTTACCAAATATCGAGGCAGTCTCCATATCGTCATAACCTTGTCCCTTTTTGTCTTCTCATTGCAAGTGTCGCAGTGGATCATTACATCCAAAGTCTCAGGGCAGCTGAATTTTTCAAGACAGTGTTCTAGGGAAGATGGGGCGAAATGTCTCGACCATGTTTCAGCCACCGATTCATCGTCCTCACACGCCTAGAAAGATAGTAAATTCATAAATGGGAAAAAAAGCGAAAGTCAACTCACCAGCTCTTGTGAATGATTGTACTTCAGATACAAAGCGATGGGAAACCAATCAACCGCTATTCCACATTTTTCAGGGATATTCGCCTAAATTGGATAAAACTGAACTAACAATGACATTTTGCTCGAGAATTTCCCCCACCAATGAGGAATCTGGTCTTATGGCACATCCACGACAAAACCTCAAGGCTGGGCATTGTCCACACCATTCCCAACTCTCATCAACCAGACATAAAGAGAATGGATAACCGAAGGATATGTTCTCAGACCTGCAAGCTGATAGCTAGCAGCTGACAAAATGATCGGACGCAAAAATATATGATGAGTAACTTACGGATCATGAGCTCTACTTGAAATTGCTGGAGATGTTGCATCCATAAATCTTCGCATCTGTAAAAAAGCTCTTTCATTAGAAATATTCTGAATATCGCAAGCGAACACGGTGAGGCAGCTTCAGATATCTGAGCCTACTCGACAGAGCAACAAAACCCTACGACTTGACTAATGCAACTGTCTTTGAAAAAAA